GTGGGTGTAGCTTGGTGGGTGTGGCATGGCTTGGTGGGTGTAGCTTGGTGGGTGTGGCATGGCTTGGTGGGTGTAGCTTGGTGGGTGTGGCATGGCTTGGTGGGTGTAGCTTGGTGGGCGTGGCAGGGGAAGGATCCTGTAAAATCTCTCTTCCCTCCCCACCCCTGGAGGAAGGCTACCACCAGTTCTCCGAACTATTCAAAATTTCTGCTACTGGTTCTCCAGAACTGGTCAGAACCTGCTGAATACCACTTCTGGTGCTATCCAGCAAACTATATTATCAGTTTTCCCCAGCATTCGCTTTTTAAATATTTTTCACTCATAATATTTTGAAAAAGTTTATTTTTTAAAAAAAAATGTTCTATTTGATCAATTGTACAAACTCAATAACATTTTTGTTTTATATTTTATTATAGCTAATCCTCATGCATCTGAAGGAATTAGGTAAGATAACCAATTATACATGTTAGGCTTCTCCTATAGTTAATTTTATCCTATGAATTTTTCCTATGGGAATCCTTCATATGTAATGGAAAAATTGATTTTTTTTCTCAGCCTCTATTATTATTTTTTAAATATTCCTAATGCTGATGGACTTTTTTAAATCTGCCATCTCAAAAGATCTTAGAAAACTTTGTCAGAATTTTAATGGAAAAAGCAAACTAAGCATTTTAAACTCATGGGATTTTGAATGTTCGTGTATTAAAAATGAACATTTTGGGATTTACAGAGGGAAGAAATTGGAAGTAGAACTGCCTGTGTTATGTTTTCTCACAAAATGCTCCTTAAAGTGCCTTGGAATGGGTTGAAAGGAGCCATTCAATCATTTATTCAGTGCAGAAATTCAGTTGAAGTATTTGCACCATCTCCTTGAAAACTTCTAAACTTAACCTCCATCTTCTTGAATATGAGAGCAAATACGTCTTCATATAACAGTTCAGTCTTTGGGAAATTAAACTGTTGTTGTTTTTTCTTTCTTTCAGCCATTCAGGCAATGTTTTCGCTCAAAACAATGGACCACAGCAAGTAAGTCTGTCTGAGAATTGAACTTAACTTATTAAACCCCCAAATTAAGAAATGGTTTTTGAATGCTACTAAGTGTCATGTGGAAATATTTGATAACATGCCTTTAGAAGTTTAAGTTAAAACAAACATTTGTAGACTGAAATAGCTTTTTCTTCACCCATTTTCTTGGACCAGAAAGAGAGCTTTTTCTCTAAATGATAAAGGGAAAACTACTGCTAAGAGCCATGATGGCGCAGTGGTTAGAATGCAGTATTGCAGGCTAACTCTCCATTCCATTGCCAGGAGTTCGATTCTGACCGGCTCAAAGTTGACACAGCCTTCCATCCTTCTGAGGTTGGTAAAATGAGGACCCAGACATTGTTGGGGGCAATATAAGTAATATCTGTAAGCTGCTTAGAAAGAATTGTAAAGCAGTATATAAGTCTAAAGTGCTATTGCTACTGCTAATATCTTTAAATGTTACTGAAGTAGTGCAAATGTTGTGTCCCTCAAGTATTGAATGCTCTGGGATACAATATTCATTCTTGGAAATTTCACTTCATTCCTTCAGTCTGTATAAAGAGTGTACTTTTTAAAGCAGGTGAAACTTCAATTTATTAAAGCCCATTTACTGGATTCTATGGGCAAACTATACGGAGATCACACTCCCAAATTAGGACACACATCTATGGCATCAAAAAAAGAAACAAAAAAAAACTGTAGCAGAAGATTTAACAGGAAAAACCCTGCTAAATTCATTTTATTCACGAGAATGTTCTTTTTGATATTATTATGAAAGTGATGCAGATTACACCCTTTGCAAGAATGTGTATATTTGCAGACATTTCAGAAAAGGTAGACATCTCCCTCATCCTGAATGGTCCATTAAATCAAGGATTTGTTGTAAAGCCTGCTAACAAGCATTTTTCTCTTTTGTTTTTCCAGAACCGGAGTGCATTTCCCTCTGTAGCACCAGTTCCTTCTGGGCCAGTCTTAGTTGAAATAGAAAATATTTCCCGGAATTCTGGAACAAGCCAACAGGATAAGAAATGGTATGTTACTCTGATCTTTCATCTTGTTCTACATTGGGAAAGAATGGTTATTGCTGGTCACTTCAGATATCTTTTGCATGGTTGATTTTGGACACCGTTTATACTGTGTCATCAAAAAATAAAAATTGAGTTTTAAGTTTGGCAGCAGGCCAGCACTCATGACAAATGTTCTTGCTGCAGAGAAGATTGAATAAAAGCATTTGCACAGTATCATCCGGGGAATATTCACAGCAGTGAGCGATCAAGTAATGTTTGTAGAATGTCATCCTATCTTCTTTTCATTGTAAAATACTATAAAACTAGCTAACTGATCAGTAGCATAGGTTCCCCATGCAGGTTCCAAATTCTGCATGAAGAAGAGTTTGCATGCAGTAACAACTACAAATAAGAGCCTGAGTTTGGCTTAAATTACTATTTCTTGGTTAAATCCTGAGCTATCCATTACGTTCAAGAAAACAAACTTCCTTTTGACTTCAAAAGCATATTGGAGCATTGCAGATACCTTGACTTGAAGTTATCTTAAGAGGTTCCGTTTTATTTATGATTACAATTTGACTTAGTCTTGTTTTAAACCGCTTGGAGGTATGTTGAAAATACAAATTTAAATAACGTGTGATACCAAATACTAAAGCACAGAAAATTGTCTAATGCAAATCCAGCAATTCTATCTGTGGAATTCAACAAGGTCAGGACCTTAATTTTATATCTGAAGCTGTTTTTTTGCAGCTGCAATCCAAAGCTGAAATCAATAAGATGCTTTCTCTCTTCTTTTTGCCCTTGATTTATCCAGTGTCTGAAATTGGAGGTTTTTCTCTAAGGTCTTGATCAATCAGTTTCTTCCTTCTCATGGTGGTGGTGTAAGGTGGTGGTATTTATTTATTTTTATTCTCATTTGTCATACTGGTATGGTAACCTGTCTTGTATAAGCTCAATATAATTGCTGTGCTCATGGTTATTGATCCTTGCCTGTCTTTTTAAGACTCCAGCTCCAAACAATTCTAGCTGTGCTTTTACAATTTTGTGCAGTCTCAAGCTCATATCATTTCTGAGAAAAGTAAGAGTGTGATTTAAAAACCTGCATACTTAGATATGTGCTACAAATTGGGATTTTCAGTAAAGTTTGTTTTGCTTCCGTCTCTCCCTTCCCCACATACATGTATTCATGTGTGTATATATGCACATCTTATATACACACAAAAGTACATGCATACACATACGTACATCCCATATACATTCTCTATATGACTACAATATGAATATACTTATTAAGTGTTTCTTTCCTTAAACATGTCAACACATCAGAATTGGGTGTGATTCCCCACTCTGAATAGCTGGAAAAGGGTATACAGGTAGTCCTCGAGTTACGACCACAGTTGAGCCGAAAATTTATGTTGCTAAGTGAAACATTTCTTAAGTTAAACCCATTTTACGACTTTTCTTGCCACAGTTGTTAAGTGAATCATTGCAGTTGTTAAGTTAGTAACATAGTAGTTAAATGAATCTGGCTTTCCCATTGGCTTTGCTTGTCAGAAGTTTGCCAAAGCTGACCACATGACCCCGAGACACTGCAACCATCATAAATATGAACCACTTGCCAAGCATCTGAGTCGTGATCATGTGACCATTGGAGGGGGGGTGTTGCAAAGGTCTTAAGTCCCTTTTTTCAGTGTCGTCATAACTTTGAAGGGTCACTAAATGGACTGTTGTAAGTCGAGGATTACCAGTATGTGGTATGCATATTGCTTGCAGATGATTACTTACCCACCCCATAGAAAGCCTAGGTTTTGAAAACGAGCTTTGCAAGTTGCAGTGGGAGCCTCAGAATAGTGGTCATTTTCTGGCACGCCCTGTTTATGCTCTCCTTTTGTAATGATCTCTTCTAGACCTTATGATTACAAGAACAACCTAAGCTATAGCAGGTCTATACACAGCACCTAAAGCGTTGCCTGTGTTTTCCTAACCCTGTTGAGCCTTGAGTTTTCTTCTAAAGTATAGATGAGATCTGTGTTCAAAAGGTATTGCTGCTGTAGGAGGCCAGTGTATAAAGTGCAAAGCAATCCTTTTTATACCTTGATAGAAAAGCGGCCCCTCCCCCAAACTGGTGTGCTGAATAGACTGGCGATTAGTTTAGTTTTTAGTTTACTTTATTGTCATTGCACCTCCTACAACAAAATTAAATACCATCTTCAGTGTACATTATGGCTGTGAAAATAAACACAAACATACATCCTTCACATTCTATACATTGAATTGAAAACCCCTGATACTGCATTAATATTGCACTATACAGTAGAATTCAATGGGGTTACTGCCCTGGGGTAGAAGCTATTTTTCAGCCTATTTGTCCTTGTTTTTATTATTCTGTACTGTCTGCCGGATGGTAATAGTTCAAAAAAATGGTTCCCAGGGATGAGATGGATCTTTGAGAATGTTTTGAACTTTCTTAAGGCAGCGGGAGCTATAAAGCTCTTCCAATTCTATTTCTCCCGCCGACAGATAGTTGATTTTGCCACCAAAGCTGATAGAAAAGCATGCCATTCTTTTTATTAACAGAGGGAACGGATTAATAGGCCTACGTTTTAAGAAATCTATATGGTAGATGTGATCCTTCTAACAGGCTGAGTTGTTGTGTTCAGTGGAGGAAGGGAAAGCAGTAAAGATATGTTTGGAGCTGTAGAGTCAGTTGGGTGTGCTGAGTTGCAAAGTTTGGAATGAGGTTAAGCAGAATGTGTTGACGTGGAATGGATGCCTGCTTAGTGGAGAATGACCTGAATGTCTTGGTGCTGTTTACAAGGGCTTTCTTACATCAGCTTCTTTCCTGCCTCTTTTAATTGGGCCGTGACCATGATTGGGCTTTCGGTTTCCTCCTGCCATTCCTTTATGAACAGTCTTCTTTAGAGAACATTTTCCAAACCCAGTGCTCCAAAGACTATAATAATTTAAACCATTTTAATTGGGCAAATATCAATTTATTAAAGGAATGGTTCTTTATATTGCTAGAATCTTGAAATTAGGCTCCACACCACCAGTATTTGAACTAAAATGCTGCAGACCTATTAAGAAAGTGTATTGCATTACCATTCAGATAGTTCCCATGAACATTTTTCCTATTCTTAGCAAAGTACATAAGCTGTAACATTGACTTACATTTCATGCTACCAACTTTTTGAGGTTAGTTTGTTTTCCCAAGAAACAGCTGAAACCTATCCAAGTCTTTGTCTTCCAAATTCCACATTTAAATGTGGTATATAGTGCTTTTTTGTTGATTAAAAAAAAACCATTGGATCTATATAGGAACAGACAAGAAAGGTTAGCAAAAGAGTTACCTGTTCTTCTGCCTATGCCATTTATTCTGAAAGAAATCCAGAATGATATTTATCTGGAGCCTAAGGAAAATTGATATATAGACTATTTTGAATATCTCTTAACCCTCAAACCTTTAAGAAAACCTTGAACAGGTGATCAGCAATTGTATCATTTCAAAACACGGTTGATGTTTTATTAACAGTCATGATCATCAACTTCTCATAAAATAAATATTCTCTTGGTGAAATATGAATTAATATGATAAAGAACCAGATCCTTAACATAAATAAAACAAGTGTGATCTTGATTAAAATTGTTTCTAAAGAAGACTACTTCTAGATGCCTTAACATTCTGCATGCTTTTTAATCTACATTACTTTTATTGCCATATTCTAGTTTTGTATACCACCCGTGTGGTATAACTTAGATGTTCTGAATTTAACCTTACTGATAGTTGGCTTTAATTAAATCCCTCATTTTTATGAAAAACAGCATCAGTGGCATGCCAGCATATCTAGCATACTTACATTTGAACCTCTTCCTTTCACCATAGAAAAATTATTTGAAATATTTCCCCAATCCATAACAGAACTAAGATTGTAGGTGACTACTATATAACTCTGAATAATCTAATACAAACCCAACAGTTGTAATTTAGGAATTACAAATTTTGCCTGGTTTACACAAAATAATTAGCCATAAACTTAGTCTACAGATCTTTTTATAAAAGTTTAACTTTATACATTATAATGAAACAAACAAACCATTTGTGGCTTAGCAGACTGTATGAGGCTTAAATATAAAAAAGTATATCATTTCTTTACAACCCTAATTATTTTTTCTACTTATCTTTGAATACCCTTAACCAATGGTCAACATTTGTGAACATTTTAGAACATTGGGATTTTGGGAGTGTTATGTATCTTTCCCAACATTACTAGAATAGTAAGAGTTATCATATTTTGTATTTTTAGTGTCAAAACACCCTTTTATCAGACTCAGTAAATGAAGATAAAAATAATAACATAATTTTCTCAAAACATAGGTAGGGATTAAATACCAAAATTTACAGGGAGTCCTTGTTTAGCAACCACTGTTGGGACCAGCAACTAGGTTATTATGCAAAGGAAACACTAAATGAAATCACAACAATGTTGTGATCTTACTTCAGCTTTCCTGTCTTTTGCAGTCTTGGTGATAGGAACTCACACTACACATATCTAAAACAAATCAGACGGTTAAACCCCCACAGGCAGATATACATATCAACTGGTTCATACATTCTACAGCAATGGCCCCCAATATTTTGGGTACCAGGGACTGGTTCCATGGAGGGAGCTTCTTCCACAGACCAAGGGGTGGGGACAACTGGTTTTCCATGTTCTGGGTCCCACACATGCACAGATGGGGCTTCGCTCATTTGCATGCCTGGTTCCTGACGGGCTGTTTTCTGGTGACAGTCCATGGCCCGGGGTTGGAGATCCTGTTCTACAGGATGCACAACCATCTATTTTCAAGAGTACATGTGAAGTTTGAACTTACTTTTTGACTTAAAAATTTATACCCTCATTTGCTAATTAAATTATAATTGAAAAAATCAGTAATTTCAAAGAGTCTGGTGGATGATAGATCTCTCTTAGTTATGTACCATAATAGGCACCTCAAATTTAAACATGCATTCAGTTCCTGTTATA